CAGCCAGAAAACTGCATTCCTCCACGGTTCCTGCTTCCAGGTTCCTGCCTTGGGATCCTGCCCTGAGTCCCTCAGTCATGGACTATAACCTATAAGCTGAAAAACAAACCTCTTCCTCCCCAACTTGCCTTTGATCAGAGTGTTTTATCACAGTAATGGAAAGCAAACAAGAAGATGTATTTAAAATACACAAGGGACCCTAAAATTCAACAACAACAAAAACAAAACCTGATTTTTAAGTGGGCTAGAAAGCACAAACGTTTCCCTAAAGAAGTTATATAAATAGCCAGCATGTACATTGAAAGGTACAAATGTCACTCACCATGTGAGGCATGCATATTGAAAATGTAGTGATTTACACTGCACACCTGTGGAACAGCCAGTATTTAAAAGCAAGCACCAAACCAGAAAATATCTAGTATCAGAGAGGGTATGAAAAAATAAGAACTCCTGTGTTGGTGGACATGCAAAATGGTACAGCAGTTGTTGAAAGAAGTGTGAAGATTCCTTAAAAAAAAACAACAACAACAAAAAAAAAAAACTAAAAACAGCCGGGTGTGGTGGTGCACACCTTTACTCCCGGCACTTGGGAGGCAGAGGCAGGCAGATCTTTTTTAGTTCAAGGCCAGCCTGGTCTACACAGCAAGTTCCAGGCCAGTTGGGGCTATAGGGAGAGCCTGTCCCAAATAGACAAAAAACAAAACAAAACAAAAAAACTCTAAAAACAGAACTATACAGTCCATTAATCCCACTTCTGGATGTTTATCTAAGAGAATTGAGAAGATAGTCTCCCAGGTTCATAGTCACCAAGTAGAAGCAACCCAAATGTTTACTGATAGATGATCATATAAAGAAATTAATATACAGACACAACAGACTATTAGCCTTTAAAAAAGAGAAACTTGTCAGATGTCACAATATAGATGAACCTTGAGAATATTGTGCCGATTGAAAATAGCCAAAGGACAAATTCTGCACAACTCCATTTGTCTGTGATATTAAAATAGTCAAATTCACAGAAACAGAAGGCAGAGTGGTACCTGCCAGAGGTTGAGCAAGGGGGAACTAGGAAGTTGCTGTTCAGTGATACAGAATTTCATGCAAAATGAATGTTCTAGCAATACACATATTATCAATAATACTGTACTATACTCTTAAACATTGCTAGGAAGATAGATTTGATGTTGTTTGCTTTCACCACAGAAAAACAAATGCACAAAGTCCTTAACGGGCATTTCACAAAAGACATTAAACTGGCCAATAAATATAGTTTATTGGTGTGATACTACACCTTCATTATTAGCTAGATTAGACTTAGAATCACCTAGGAGATGGTGAGGCACACCTCTGGGTATGTCTGTGAAGTATTAACTTAAGGGAAAGAGCCACCCTATAAGTGATTGACACTATCCCATGAGCTGAGGGCCCAGATAGAATAAACAGGGGAAAGGAGATCCTTAAGGGAGTGTTGGCATTCCTTTCTCTGTTTCCTGGTGGAGTGTGGCCTGAACATATTGGCTCCTCCATACCTTTCCCATCATGATGGACCAAATCCTATGAAACTATGGACCAAAATAAACCCTTCCTCCTTCAAATTGTCTATGTCAGGTAATGTGGTCACAGTGAAGATGAAGAAACTAATACACTTGGTCATCAAGCTAAAGCAAATTAAATTAACAAGGAGATGTTGCTCAACTACTGGATTTGGGTGAGGGGCAAATAAAATATTTAAAATATGACAACAATATGAGTTGAGAAGAATGTGGAAAAATAGCAACTCTCATACTCTGATAGTCATGACTGATTGGTATAGCTCTTTTCTAAGCCAGTTTTGCATCATAGAATAAAGTCAAACACAACTCATACCCACACCTTTCCTAACTGGAATGGGTCTCTAGTAGGTCTGGAGAAGCAATCTTTAACTCTAGAAGAATATACTGTCTCTAACTTGTCAAGACTATTCAAATAGGTCTGGACTCCACAGGAATGCAAGAAAGTCAAACAAAATTATCTTCTAAAACTTGAGTGAGAAGCCTGGTAGATCCTTACAGTAAGTGGTCAAAGACAAAAACTGTCGTCATGTACTGGGCACTTGCTGGGTCCTGGTACCTGTCATGTGGTGTGATTTGGAGGCTGATTATTGTTAATCTCCTTAAATCTGCTTTGAGTCTATTTTGGGAAACAAAACAAAAGAATCAGAAGGTCTAAGGGAGGCAAAGCTAACTGGGAAATGTTGACAAATAGGAGTCTCACTGGGTTCTGCAATTGAACTTGCTCAACAGACAGAGAAGGGCAGGTGCTTTATCTCTTTCACATAGCTGGTCATCTCAGGCAAAAGAGAAGGATGGAGCCATCCTCAAGACAAAACGCCATGCAGGACCCAAGACCAGCATGTGCACGTCCTCTTTCAGATCTGACCGTTAGATCAGTCTCTTTTCCTTTCCTGAGATGAGAGCGAGCCTCTTTTCTTCTCTGTGAAAACATATCGCTGGGATAAGCAACTTCCCCAGTGCCAGACACATCACACCTGTCATCCAAAACCTGAATCTGAGTGTCCCCTTTTTGTACACAAGGAAATGAAGTCAGAAGTGGCATGCTACTATTGTACAACCAGGAAGGGCATGATAGAGCAGGATCTGAATTAAGCCATCTGGGAGTGGCTTTTGTTTTTTGAGACAGCGTCTAATGTAGTTTAGGCTGTTCTCAAATTTACTATTTAGCTAAGGATGACCTTGTACTTCTGATTCTCCCACCTCCACCTCCCAAGTACTGGGATTATAAGCATGTACAACCATGGCTGGCAGCAGAGGCTGTGCTTTGATGGCTTACTATCCTGCTTCCTGAGACTATAAGACACACCCTCTCAGGAGGAGGGAGAGAGAGAGAGAGAGTGGGAGCATGAGGTTGGAGAAGGAGCAGCGTCAAGCCAGGACAGTAGACAAGATGTCAGAAGAGGGTGGAGAACAAGAAGATGACTGAAGACAACCATGGTTAGACACAAAGATGGTGGGGAAAGGAGAGGGAGATAGAGAAACCAGGGAGAGAGAAGGCTGATGCAGGAGAGAGGCCAGCTGTGTCCACACTGGCATCCAGGAGAGGGGTTGCTGAGGACAATGGAGCTGGATGCACTAGGGACATGACAAGGCTACCCCCTCTACATACCTTGAATGAAAGGGGAGGGAAGAGACAGGTAGAGAGGGAGCAGTGGAGGCAACAGATCACCCTCAGCCTTTTGGTACCATTTGTCAAAACTTTAGAAATAGCAAATGTTATTTCAAGTATCTCCATCCTGAACAAATTGAGATCAAGATTATTGCATTTTAGGTAAATAGGCTCTAGAAATGTTCCCTGGTGGGACAGATTGTGGGTGTCATAAGCAGAGGTAAGAAACTGGAATTACTATAAAATTATTTTGATATCAATAAAGCTTCCTACCAGAAACAATCCAAATGCCCATCAATAACAGCATGTTTTAAATTTGTACTGTTAGTCTGTTTTCTGTTGCCAATAGCACAATATCACAGACTGGGTGAGTTAAAAGGGAAGGAGGTATATTGTGGCTCACAGTTCTGGGAGTATCTGGTACAGGGATCACGTCTGCTGATGCCCTTCTTGTTGGCAGAGTCCTGAAGTGGCCAAGGCAAGAGACAGGGAGTATGTGTCAGTGTGAGTGTGAGCATGTATGTGTGCATATGTGTGTGATATACACGTATCTGTGCATGTGTGTGCATGTATGATGGACATGTGTGTATGTATAGCCTCTCTCCCTCTTCATATAAAGTCAAAAGGATCATATCATGACACCCCACTCTGATAACCTGATCTAACTCTAATCCCCTCCCCTCCTGGTTGACTTTAGCTTGCAACTTGACACAGCCTAGAGTCACCTAAGAAAGGAATTTCAATTGAGGCTTTCCTAGGTCAGACTGGTCTGTAATCATGTCTGTGGGAGATGGTTTTGATTGTGAATTGACGTAAGAGGGCCCAGCCCACTGGGGGTAGCATCATTCCCTGGGCAGGTGGCTCAGGGCTGTATGAGAAGCCTAACAAAGCATGAGCCTGGAGCAAGCCAGCAAGCAACGTCCCTCTGTGGTCTCTGCTTCAAGTTCCCACTGGAGTTCCTGCTCTGACTCCCTCAGCATTGGACTGTGACCTGGAAGGGTAAGCCAAATAACCCTACTCTTCCTCTAAGCAGCTTTTGGTCAGTGTCTTACCACAGCAACAGAAAGGAAGCTAGAACACCACCCAAAAGCTTCACCTCTAACACCACAGCTTGTTTGCACCCTTCCAACACCTCACTTTGAGGTTCATTTTGCACACAATCCACAGTGAGGCACATACATGCCATCCTGTGCTGGATACTGACTCCCCCTTATTCCAGCTTAGACATAAATAACTAGCCTCTTCTTTGGGGTGAATTGACCTGATGGAGAGAGGTTGCTATCCTTAGAAAACCAATGCTCTCAGAGAGGGTTGGTGCTGGTCTTAGTGACATGTTTAATCGTTTTCTTTCCTACAGTATGACTTTTTTAAAGCGCTATGATTGGTCCACTTGCCAAAACACAGTGTTTGCTCCCTGCCATACTGTTCAGAGCCACTGCGGATGCTGAACCATCTAACTTTCCAGCCCATAAAGTCCACGGGGTAAGGTATTACCTTCATTTCTAATGAAGGAAATGAGGCACAGAGAAGTTGAGCAGCTTGGCAGAGGCGCACAGCTGTTGAGCGGAGGAGTGCTTTGAGCCGAGCTGTGAACGCCCACCCTCTGGCTGCAGAATGCGTGCCATGCTGCGGAAATCAACCCATCGCCAGACCTGGCACTCGACGAGGACTCTGCACTGAGCAGCTGCAGCAGGCGCGTGCGAGTGGAATCTGATGGTGCTGGAGCTCTCGCTCCTCCCTGGGGCGTAGGACAGTAAGGAGCGCCCCTGGGTCTGCTCGCGGCAACACCCCACCCGGGATCCTGCGGCGGGAAGAAGCGGCTCCAGCCGCACGCTCCGCCGCAGGGGGGCGCCCCTGGCCGGCCAGTGCTGGCGGCTAGCGGTCCCCAGGGTAGGGCGCGTCGCCTGCAAGAAGATGTCGGTGTCCGGCGGAGAGCGGCCGGCGCGGCCTGGGACCCGCCTGTCCTGGCTACTGTGCTGCAGCGCCCTGCTGTCCCCGGCCGCCAGCTATGTGATCGTGAGCTCCGTGTCCTGGGCGGTCACCAACGAAGTGGACGAGGAGCTGGACAGCGCTTCCACTGAGGAGGCGCTGCCTGCGCTGCTGGAGGACTCGGGCAGCATCTGGCAGCAGAGCTTCCCTGCCTCAGCGCACAAGGAGGATGCGCACCTGCGGCCCCGGGGCTCCGCCAGAGCCAGGCCCGGCCCCGCACCGCGAGGCATGTTCTCCTACCGGCGGGAGAGCGACCCCGCGGGGGCATCCTCCAGTCGCAGGCTGCACGCCGGCACCGCGCGCTCCCTGGTCCACGCCAGCGCCTGGGGCTGTCTGGCCACCGCGTCCTCCCACGACCAGGTAAGCCAGCGGGTAGGACCCCGGGGCAGGTGCACACCTAGCTGTGGTGGCAATTCGGGACATGCCCGGGGACTGGATTTCACAGAGACGTACACTGTGGATGCCTTGTGAATAACGGAACCGGAAAGTGTATGAATCGGTTCAGTTGGCCAAATGCGTGTGGGTGAGGAGGGGAACGGCCCTGGAAAACAGTGCTGGTGGTTGGTGACTGAATCCCTGTCTTAAGATGGCCAAAGAAATGTTCAGAGAACCAGCATGACTCCAAACCTGGACGGAAGACAGGATCGTCTGGGGAACCACAGATTAGGCGCGGTCCCTCTCCTACTGGCTCAGACGCTGTCCAGCCAACTTCCCACCTCCTCCTGACACGAGTGGGCATGGGAAAAAGACAATGTTCACGCACTGCAGAAATTTACACTCCAAAAAGGAAATAAATTTTTGAGAAAGACTTATGCAGAGTGTAACTGCTGGAGGGAGTGTTTAGGCTGCAGCCTCTCAAATTCAGTCCATAAAGCTGTCTTCACCTGTTAGATGAGCTTCTGTGCAGAATGGTGTGGAGGGCTAACAAGGGTGTGTGTTCCATAGTCATATTTCGATAGCCTTGGAGGTGTCATTTGAGCTCCTGTTTGATCCGTGCATGGAAGGATTAGCATCTTTAGGGTGCATGTAGGAGTCAGGCTCTTGCCTTAGCTCTCTATGGGTCTCACCAGCCCTAGCCTAGCTAAGTTGCTTTGTTTACCCATCTATAAAATTAAGCAGTTCACAAGGAATTTTTTGAAAGTCCCTTTTTCTCTTAAAAATGTATCTAAATCAGGGCTGCAGAGGTGGCTTAGAGGTTAAGAGCACTGACTGTTCTTGCAGAGTTCCCCGGTTCAATTCCCAGTACCCACATGGTGGCTAAAACCCTCTATGACTGCAGTTCCAGGAGAATCTGATGCCTGCCTCTGACCGTACATTCATACACACAACCATAAAATAAAAATAATAAATAAAAATTTAAATTATCTAAATGATAATTTTATACTAACAGTGACAATTTCCATGTCAGAGACTGACCCAATTGGATAGTCCCAACATCCAAATAGTTTTTCAGTCACATCTTACTCCTAAGACATACCTTAGTGGAATATGAAATTTAAATATGAACCTAATCTTGGTTTAAAACAAATAATTTCAAACACTTAAAAGTTTAGTGCTAGGGTCTAGGGAAGTGGCTCAGTCAGTAGAGTACTTGAGGACCTGAGTTGTTAAATCCCCAGAACCCATGTAAGAAAAAAACAGTGTCCAGGAAGGGGAGATAGGTGACTCCAGAGGCAACTGGCAAGCTAGCCAAGCCAACTTGGGGAATTCCAGGCCAGTGAGAGACCCCCATCTCAATAAATAAAAGTGGATGGCTCCTGAGGAATGACACCAGGTTGTCCTGTGACTTCCACAAGCACACATGCACACACATGTACACACAAATGTACACACACACACACACACAAAACAAAAAAATCTCTAGTGCCAGCCAGGTATGGTGGGCTGCTCCTATAATCCTAGCAATGACAAGGCCTAGGCAAGGGAATTGTGGGTTCAAAGTCAGCCCTGGCTACACATCCAGATCTGTCTCAAAAAACAAAAGAAAAACCAACCAACAAACAAGGGGAAGTATCTAGTGCTCATGTATTGAAGATATTTTGACTATCAATCATGATTTTGTTAGCTTCCTCGGGACTTTCCCTTCTGATATTGACATTTAATCCAAGCTCAATAAACTCAGAAAACTTTTGCATAAACTGCTGGGTGATTCTGGATATGCTGAAAAGAGAATCTGTGAATGATGTCATTTTACCATTGTGGAAGACTCTTTAATCTTTTCAAAAGATTCACATCCTTCCCTTTACAGTTTTGCACACCAGCATCAGGAAACACTTTGAAGACAAAGTCAGCTTTACTAAGTAATAGCACAGAACTCTTTGTCAGGGACAATGTTCCTGGGAAGTTGGGATGCTGCCACAGTAGAGTGTGGGAAAAGCTAAGACCTAAGTGTTTTTTGCCTCAGTCTGAAATCACAGAAACATGACATGAGACCTTTCCCCACCCACCAGACCAGCACAAAGACAGTACATCATGTCTTCTTTTAGTTTAAAAGGGTGACATCACTTCCCATAACTTGCTCAGTTACATAATGAAAGGTTATTGATTACAATAAAACATACAACTAATGAATGAGGACATATTATTGTCCTAACAGAAACAATAGAATATTCTTGACATCCAAAGATCAAGCAACTCATTAAAGCGAAGAATTAAAGTCTATCCCCAATGTTTCAAAACAAATTGAGGGAGGTGTTGAAGGCAGCTTCCAGAATAATCCTTTAGCTTCCAGACAGAATGTCCTTACTGAGCATCCCCCACAGAGAAATTCTGTAGCCATCCGTGGGTGAATTAGATAGGCTGGAACTACCTGACCTTAATTTACTCCCTCTCAAAACCACTGGGGAGCCCTGGCCCAAACAAGGCCCTGGTGCTGCATTTCCTGGCCAGAAACACAAAGCAAGTTCCTAGTTTGTGTCAGTCAACTCAAAGCTCTGCCACTGAAAAGGCCCTTTTTCTGTGTTTGCTAGATCCAAGGGCTGCCATTTGGGAGCTGCATGGCCATCAGTGACGGCCCCTTCCACAACAGCACTGGGGTCCCATTCTTCTACGTGACAACTAAGGACCCTGTGGTGGTCGACCTGGTGAAGAACCCCATGGCCTCGCTGATGCTGCCGGAATCAGAAGGAGACTTTTGCAGGTAGAAGAGGGTTTGTTCTTACTGGCACAAGGTTGGGCAAAGAGGCAGAATGTGGGTCACATGGCTGTCATAAGCCTTGAGTTGTAGCTTGGCATCTTGACTCTTGGAAATTTACTGAAGATCAAGCAGTATGATTGGGAGCAAGTTGTCTACCATTTACTCATCTGTAAAATGGGAAAGCAGACGGACTTTGACTTACATTGGTGGGGTGGGGGTGGGGGAATCATAGGTCCAGGAAGCACATTAGAAGGTGAAATTGTTTTAAGTCAAAAATATATGTAATACGCTTTACTTACCAAGTATCGCAACTTGTCCTAGCCGACCTTACATGTTCTCAAAACACTCAAAATAATCTAATGCATAGTCTATTGTGACATCAAATCTTGATAAGCCTGTCTGCTTTATTTGGTACTGTACTCAGAAAGAAAACACAGTTGTTCAGTATCAACAGCTTAGCAAAAGATCAAAATTCAAACAATTTACCAAATATATATCACTTTCAGAACATCATAAAGGCTATCATTCATAAGGCGAACCATCATAAGTTGGTATTTGTTATCATTTTTACCTCACAGAATTATCATGAATTTTGGAAACAGGTACAAGGTATTTTCTATGATTCAAGAATTTTTCTTGAGACAGGGTCTCATGTAGCATAGGTTGTTCTTGAACTCACTCTGTACGCAAGGGTACACCATACCTGATTTTTGCAGTGTTGGGGATTGAACCCAGGGCCTCATGGATTCTAAGCAAGCACTCTACCAACTGATCTACAATCCCCAGCCCAAGGTGACTTATAAAGATGCCAGAGTGGGCAGATGGCACCTGGTATTATAAAGGGCAGGGCAGGTTGGGAGTTGAAATAAATAAGAGCCAGTAGTTTGTCTCCCTAGCATGTGTAGGCTACAGTTTATTGTTTTTTCAAATTCATTTATAGTTCTCTCTTTCCCCAAGGTATGAGTGTAATACAAAGCCAGCATCATTTAATACATTTTCTCAAAAGCTCTGTAAAAGAAAAGCCTTCTAAGGACATTTAAGCAAAAATAAGACATTCATTCAGACACCATCATCTGAACTCAAAATGCAAAATCTGAAATCGTGCTGCCAGGGAAATGTCTGTACTGAGCTCCTGGAGCGGGGGGACACATGTGAGAGACCCCCCCACCCCACCCCAAGGATTGACAACTCCCCCAGGGTGGTGTGGGAGGAGGAACACTATAACCCCTGGCCTCAATCATTTCACCTGCAAATATAGAGATGATTTAGAGAATTACCAAGCTTCATCCCACCTCTAAAGTTCTATTATCCTCTATGTACAGCATGACAAACAACCAAGCATCCTAGTCAGTCTTGTGGAAGCTAATTAGAGAAACCATGGGGTAAAAAATGCAGCCTTGGTAAGCCTTGCCACCCCAGCCTCCAGCCCCAATCATTTATCCTCAGCAAGGAGAAACTCAAAGTGCAGAACTTCCCGGACTCCAACTCCGCACCAGCTAAGACAGGAAGTCACAGAAATAATATTCCTTTGTCATGGAATAGTCTCCCTGTTCTTGATCAGCAACTTGCTGTTACTAGAGCTATATTCCCAGGAGAACTTCCTAAACTTACCAGTTCTCCAACTCCAGTGTCTTAAAGCAGTCATGCTAAAGCATGAACCCAGAACTCAGAACCCAGAGGGCAGCTGCTCTGGGAAACAGGACACAGGATTCAGATCCAGGATCAAGGTTACAGCTGTACTTGGCTGTGGAAGATTTGTCTACCAACAGGCATACAGGATCAGGGCCTGAAACATATAGCAGTAAGAAAGTCAGCTCCAGAGAGAATGCATAATTTCCAAGCCATATACAGCA